TTTCAACAATTTTTTTAATACTTATAATTTATTTGGTCTTCCATTCAATGAGAAAATAACATGACAGCCGATTTGTGGCTATAATCTGGGGGGATATTATATTCTGCAACAAGCTACTGTAACTTTAATGTATTACCAGTAATTTCTGCTTCCTCTGGCGAGGATTAGAGAAACATAAGGTGCTTTAATAACAAACAGGGATCCACCCACATCTCTGATTTATGTTTATGACTCAGCAAAGAGCGTAAACTGAGACTGGGGCACAGAGAGATTCTATAAGTAGTTATAAATCAGCCATTCACCAGGAGGGGGAAAAAAAGAAAGTGTGCTAGCAGCCTTCCATGCATGAGGAAGAGAGTGGGTTTGGGGTTGCAGATGGTAAGGTTTCCTTTCCGGGGAGTCAGTAAAGGGGTCAGCTGGGATTCGTCACAGAGAAGATTTGAGGTGTTTTCATGAGTGCTTGGGGAGGAGATATTTGCTGTGCAATGTTTATTGTGCAGACTGGCTGCATCACTGTCTATCAGAACAGCCCCTGGTCGAGCACTGCAAGTCCATTTGTTGGACACAAACCCACCCTCAACAGGTCAGCTGGATGGTGGGGCAAACAACTTCAGAAAACAAAGCTGCACATCTGAATTTGTAGCATTTTCACCTTTGATTGAATCTAGAGATTATTGCATTACCTGCCCTGTTGTGTCAAAGACCCCCATATCCAGCCCCAGCCCTCCCCAGGCTGATCCAGCCCAGGTTGCTCCCAGCCAAGGCACAGCTCCCTTTGCCAGCTGTGCTGCTCAGGAATTTCAGCTGAAGGGTGCTCAGTGTTTGCGGTGCCACCCTGATTGACAGGTTTATCTTCCAGTCCATTTCCTTGCTTAATTATCCCAGAGCGAGCAAGGATTTCTTATAAATATGGTAATAGGCCAATCATCATAACAACAGAAGCACATTTTTGTACAGTTTGTGGGAAAAGCTGACTTTCCCCAGTTTCTGTTCACATCGGGTTTCCCCCATCAGGAGGAATCAGTAAATAATTAAACAATATCTGGTGACCTTAAAACATCATCCCCCACATGTGTGGCATCAGTCAGGACCTGCTTGGAGCTGCCATCATCTCAAGAGATGCTCCTGTCCCACATCTTCCCATTTTAGTGCACACTACAAAAGCTCATGTTTCCCTTAACTTCTTGAGTTGCTTCTGTGGTGGCAAAGTTTTTCATCTGACAGCTCCAGCTGCTGTGTAAAGGAGAGAGGGTCTGTGGGCACTTCAGACCTAAATCACTGAGGATGAGGGAAGGTTTTTCTACCTGATACCAAACATTGCTGAGGATGTTTTTGTCAAGGAGATTTTACCAAAAATTGTCAGGTGAAGAGTTTGTAAATGCTGGTTTTCAGTGTAAATAATATCTTCCAGATTTAGGGATTGAAGCTAATGCCTGATGTTCAAATTCTGGAGTCTGTCCTCTGAGAGCGTGTGCTACAATCATTCCTTGAGTGGTACATTATCCAAAATAACAAAATTGAGGTGACCAAGGGAAGCAGAGAAATGTGTTGTCACTCCATCAGCATTCATTTATGCCAAGGCTCTGTGAAAACCATATGAGATTCTGCATTGTTTAGAGTTTATTTAAATTAATCACTATAATTACATTTTTGCTCTTTATAAAAAGCCTCCTATAGAGATTGTCCAGCTAGGAAATAAAAGGAATTTTGGAAATCGTTGTTCCAATAGCCTCTTTGAAGACATTCAGGAGTATCATGTAAAACACAGTGGGCACAGGGGGAAATAATTCTGCGGGGAGGTCGGACGGATGCCGAGTTCTGTTGATTTCCTCATTTTTCAAGGCTGGAGGCTTCTGCATGTGAATGAGTCCTTTGTTTTTTCAAGGCTTCTGGTACAGAAATATATCTGCTGCAACAAGCACTGATTTCCCATCCTGCAAACAAAAGCTCTGATAGCGAGGGCAGAGCACGCTGCTGGGGTGGACACCATGCACAGCAAAGGGGAGGGCAGCAGACATCCTTCTCAGAGCCAAAATCCTCTTGCTCCAAGCCAAACCTTGGAGCAGAAATGGGTAAGAACAAAGGTTCTTGCCCAGTACAGCAAGGTCAGCTGCAGGCAGATCGCAAGGGGAACAACAGCTCTGGCCACAGCCATTTTCTTACTCTCATGTCTGGAAAAGACCTGAAGTGAATCAGCTACACTCTCTCAAAATGCCTTTTTAACATTTCTTAATTTTGACAACATTTTTTTTCTTTTTTTTAACTGGTATTTACCTAATTTTTTACAATTTGCATGAATTAACCCCACAAATCCATATTGGATGTTCCTTGTTGACCACCAGTTGCCTGCCTGTCCCATTTATGTCTTAAAAGCCCTCTGAGACAAAATACAGGTCTAACAAAACTCCATCCCTGATGTTTTCAGTTGCTCCTGGTTAAGATGGTTCTGTACAATATGCTTGTATTCTGTATTGCATGATTTTCATTGTTTTCTGAAATCTGAAAGGAGAAAAAAAAAATTCCTTCCATTGTTTACAGGAATCAAGATAATTCTTTTGTGTTTTTTCAAAAGATTGCTGGACTGATCTGTGTTTCTGTTGTGACTACTCTTGTGAAGTTGAAGAGTTTCATCTATTTCCCAAGACTCAGTTTGTTTTTTAGCCAGAAGTTCAGACATTATACTGCTTTTATGTTGACTTAAAGAACCTTCAGAGCACCTAGAGTTAATTCTGAACATCCTTATGCTAACAAACCCCGAATAAAATGTTGTTATCTGTAGGGAAAACGGAAATGAATACCTTCTTAAAATAATGATCTTATTACTACTTATCTTGTTACACTGTGGTGAGGTTCCCCTTGTTAAGCCACCTGCATTTTGAGAGGTTTATAGACAAAAGCAGCATTATTAATTAATGCGACTGTGCAGGCTTTCTGCAAGCTATTATAATATTTTATTGTTATGGCTACTATTATTGTTATCAGATAGGCTGTTTGGGAGTTTGCAAAACGTGCTGGCATCTTTCTGTTGCATTGGTTATCCTTCAGTGACTCTCTTCAGGTTATAAATGCAGCTGTTTCTATTAAATTCTGGATGGAAAGCAAGATTCCATAAAACCTATCAGCAGGTTATTTTAGCCTCAAATCAGTATTGCTTAAATTATACAGGGAGGGAAATGGAAGTCTAGTGAAGGTGTTCCTCTCAAGAGCAGATGGGGATTTTTTTTGTGCTTGAATGTGACTTTGGGCTGAAGGTGACCCAGGCAGTGAGGCAGGGTCAGGACATCCTTTGGCCACCTTTATCTGATTCCTGAGTGCCTGAATTTCTTCTCTAGTGAACCTGGCACCGAGAGTCATTGTCTGAAAATGTGTTTTGGGGCAAAAAGGAGTCCATCCTAAAAGGATGTTCCGTCACTCACCATGAGGAAAGTGCAAACCTTCTGGTCTCTGTTTTTTGCAGTGTAACTCTGTGTTCTGTCCTGTAAGAGGCCACCAAGCTCCAGGCATCAGTGCAACTCCTCTCTGCTGCAAAGCTGGAAGAGTGCAGTTCTGAGACCCCACACCAACTCTGGCATTTATGTGGGTGTTTCAGCATTTTGTCACTCTAGAAGTCACAGTGAAATCCATAAAACTGTCTAGGAAGATATTAAAGACCCCAAACTCTTTATTTGCAGAGATTAAACAAAGACCTGAGGATTTAAAGAGCAGTGTTATCTCTGCACCATAAAGTTATGTCACACCTGGGTGCTGTGGCCAACAGGGAACATTTCTGTGCTGCTGCAGATTTTGCAGGCTTGGTCATGTCCCATTTCAGTTTTCCCACTCTGCTGTGTGCTCCTCTATCCAACTGTCCTTATGCAGGAGCAGTTCTTGACCTTCAAACATTGGTCACCACTCTTTGGTGTTCTTCCAGTTTAGCCTCACACATCTGGAGGTGGGGAGAGGGCACAAGGGCAAGGGACCCTACAGAGCATCTGAGTTTTTTCCAATTCTGCCCCAAACATCCCCTTTTTTGGCTGTATTTCCTCTCTGCAATGGTCCCCTGGTGTGTCTGAAGGCTGGAAACACCAAGGGCAGAATATCTGGGCCTGGACATGGGATTTCAGCTTCTGGCATAGATGGCATTTGGTTTGGTTTGGTTTGGTTTGGTTTGGTTTGGTTTGGTTTGGTTTGGGACTTCAGGGGAGAATGGATGAATTTTCTCTCCTTACTAAGGTGACTATGTCTCTATGTTCACCACAGTTCTTCAAATATTTCCAAATCACAAGTTGTGCCTAGGAGCTGGGGTTTATTTGTTCTACCTTTATTTTTCTCTTCCTTTTGTTTCTGAGCAAAGCTGCCCATGGTCAAATAAGCTCCAGTCTCGCTAGAACCACCATGAAACAGCTTCTGAAATGGTCCGGGCTAAGATAGACCCCCCTAATTTCAGAAGCCTGCCTTGTCTGATGGTGTTGGTGAGTTCAAATTCTTCTACATTCACATGGTGAAAAGCCTCGTCCATTAAGAGCGGGCAGCAAAAATCAATGAGAAAGGTGATAGGGGGGTTTCCTTTTTTAATCCTTCAGGATCTCTGGTTTGTTGCTCTGAAATCCTTCCAAGGCACATTTGCAGGACCCTCTTCGTTACCCTAAGGAGCCAGGCTCCGGAGAGTGCCCGCTCCAACTCCCGGAGCCCAGGCTGGGCAGCGATGGATCCCAGGCAGGCTCGGCTAGGCTCTTTCTCTAGAGGAGTTTGCCACCTACTGATTCACAGGTTCCTCGGAGCTCCTGCCAGGACAAGTTGAGGGGCCAAGCTGGGATTCAGGGGCAGGTGGGGATTGCCCTTAGAGAGCCGGGGCAGGATCCCCAGGGGCAGAGCAGGCTCGGGGATGGATGCGGTTCCAGCTGTGCGGCCGCAGCTGGCAGCAGGGGCAGGGGCTGGGTGGAAGCGCCCGGCGTGTGCGTGTGCGTGTGCGCTGTGTGTGGCGGGGGAGGGATGTGGATGAGGAGCGGGCTCTCTTTCTTCCTCTCGGGGCTCAGTTAATCCTGCTGCCAGGCGCTGCTCAGCGGCAGTCTCGGCGCTGGAGCCGGAGCGGGGGAGACGCGCATCCCGGAGGGGAGGCGAGAGAGGCGGCTAAAGAGAGCAGAGCGGGGGAAAAATCAAATCTATGCTTGGAGCTGGGCTTCTTTTTCGCCAATGCAAAAGGGAATATGCAGCACATTTTTGCCTTCTTCTGCACCGGTTTCCTAGGGGCGGTGTTAGGGGCCAATTTCCCCAACAATATCCAGATAGGTGAGTGCGGGGCTGGGGGTGATGCTCCCTGGCGGGTGGGTAGGGGTGGAGAGGGGGTGCTCAGGGTAAAAACGGACCCGGTGGTGTGCTTGCAAAGGCACAATGCGCGTGTATGTGTGTGAGAGGGAGCCAGGGGCTGAACTGCGAGGGCTGGATGTGTGCGTTGGTACCAGCTTTGCCGGAGCAGAGATGGATCAGTTTGGATTTGGGGGAGGGGTAGGTTGGGAATAAATGCCTGCACATACACACACACCAACACAGAGGGAGAAAAGTGCCTCCGAAATGGAGGAAGTATGAAAAAAATATCTGTTTCTTGCCCTGGGAAATGCCTGGGCTGCCATTGTGTGTTGCTGCATTTGCAAAATCGGCGGTTGCATGATACATTTTGGTGAGGATGCTCTCATCTGTAGGTAACTGGGACGGGAGGTAACAAACAGACGCTCTCTTGTTGTTATTGCTAAAGAATAAGGGCAAAGCTATTGGAAGAAGATTTTGCATTGAAGTCTCTTTCCATTTCATGCCACTTGCTTCCCCTGCACACCAGCAGTGCCTGTTTGATTCCTTCCTCCCTTCCTGTAACTTCTCCGAGCTCCTCTCCCTCCTTGCCCGCGTTTATTATTACTCTCCCATTGATCTTTATTGGTGATCGTTTGTAGCCTAGCCCCAAATTCCCTTCCCTTGCACGCCGGTTTTCTTTCCCGCCTCCCTTCTCTCTACAATGCCAATCAATTGCTAATCCACCAAGTTCAGGCAACTCCTGCCTGAGTCCAGCTGCACAATCAGTGCTTTTATTGCTGTCGATGCTGCATCCTTGTCTCCCTCCCTTCCTGTCTCCCCTTTACCCCAAATTTGTGCAAGATCCCGGATTTTTTGCCTTTCAACGAACGCAACTTGGCTACGAGCATCTGATTCCTCCGATATCCGTGATTAGGCTGTGGGGTGGGAGGAACGGGGGAGGTGGGGGGATATTGGTGCACAAATAGCCCTTTTCACACAAGGAGATGCCCCCTCTACTAAAGATGTGCAAAGTGACGTTGATGGCAGGTCCTTGCCTATTTCTTTCTTCCTCGAGTCGTCTTGGGCATTGATACTTTCTGCAGCTTTATTTTAATTCTCCCTTGTTGCTAAGTGCTTTGTTTCCCTCCTCCTGAAATGCCAATAGCAGCGCTTTATTTAAATGCATATAGATTACAAGACAGGCTGAATTTCATAGCATCTCTTGGAGGCTGTGGAGGGATCTGCTGCAAGCCAGGGTTCCTGCTGGGGGAGCAGCAGGAAACTTTTCCTAGGGCTGGGTTATCGCTGCACTCTGTTCCAGATCCATGGGGAAGGAGAGGCTCTGAGCTGAGGTCCAGCCCGGTCCCAGTTCCTGCCCTGTTTGTATCATTTTGTGGTCCTAGGCTTATCTGTACTTCTATACAGATTGATTCCTCTGAGGGTCAAGCTTTAAGTTTGCTGCCCAGTTTGAGTTTGGCCGCTGTCACCTGTTAAATTTGGGGGGTTTTGTGCAGCAAACCTCCAGCAGCAGCAGCAGTTTGGTCACAGTTTCATGTCATTCTAGCTGTCACAGCACTGTCCCCTGCTGGGCCAGGCTCAGCCAGGCTGCCCCGTACCCCCGAGTCCCACAGTGTGGGGGGACCCTGCAACCCTCCTGTGGCAAAGCTCTCCTCTCAATCAGCAGAGCTTGAACTGAGCCTCATTCCAAGCCAGGGGAGGAAGGAAGGATCTCGTTCTTCCTGTACTGAGGTGATAATGACAGAATTCCCATTCCTCCTGCTCGAAGTTATGGGGGTGAGGAGGTGGAGCTGCACCCCATGGATCGTCCCTATCCTGAGCTGCCTAGCCTGGGGATGCAGCAGGGCTCCTGTGTGTGATCCAGGGTTACATAACAGAAATGTTGGGAGGGTTTTGTGCTCCCAACCTGTCCGCAGTGGGCACGGAACCCTTGGCTCTTGCCTTCCAGAGGATTTCTGAGTTTGGAGGCACTCCCCGGGCTGCAGGGCTGTAGGCTCTGCTCTCAGGAATATTTTGGACCCATGATGTTTTAAATATGAATGTTCTTAAGAGCTTTCTTCTCATGGTTCTGTTTTTCTCCCCAGGGGGGTTGTTTCCTAATCAACAGTCCCAGGAACATGCGGCTTTCAGGTTTGCGTTGTCTCAGCTCACAGAACCCCCCAAGCTCCTTCCCCAGATTGACATTGTGAACATCAGCGACAGCTTTGAAATGACATACACCTGTGAGTACCAGCATTCACTCTGCTCTGCCTCTCTTCGGCTTCTTTATTCCTGACTTGGGTTTGTTGGCTGTCTGAAATATGGGACATCTTGCACCAAATGATTAGCTCACCTTTAGGGTCCCAGCAAGAAAACCCCAAACATACAAAGGGTTTTTGGGTCGTTTTGGTTTGTGCTAAGGAATAGGGGTGAGGTATTGCTGCAGTCATCCAGCATGTCTTGTGTTTCCCCTTCCATTGCACCCAAAGTGATATAAACCCCCCAACATTATATTTCCTCTTGTTTCTCTAACCTCTGCCCAAATCATTACATTGAGATTTCATCCCCATATTTCCCATAGCTGTGATGCACAACAAAGACACCCCTTTCCACCCACAGAGTGCACAGAAGTCTCTGTTTAGTGTGAACAGCTTCTTCCTCAGCCCCAGTTTAACCATCTGTCCTTGTAATTTAAGAAAGACCTAGCAGAAGCCAGCAGCTTGGTGCAAGTGGAGTCTAAATCCACAATAAGGGCATGCCTAATAATGACAGAGAGGTAAGAGAGTTCTAGTTTCAAGAAATACATTCATTGGCTCTAAAAACAGATATTAAAGAATGAGTTTGCACCACGGAATTGATCTCAGGGTGTATCTGCGCCCTGCTAAGGCACAGCACGTCGCCTGTACTGTTCTCATTAGAAGATATTATTGGGAAAAACACCCTGGCTTGCTAGATAAAGCCAAGGTTAGCAGCAACAAACAAGACCAGAAGGAGGAAACCAAATGAGAACTAAGCCCATAACAGAGCCCTGTGGTTGCTGTGGCAGCCTTTGCAAGGGGCTCATGCCAGCAGTGTGTGATGCACAGAGAATTCTGTGATTTGACCTGGTGTCAGACACTGCTGCTGACACTCTCTGAAACTGTGTGTGTGTTTTGGGCTCTCAGGATAGGCTGGAGGAAGCCTTCCCTTCATTGAGCCTGTTGGATTGTTGTTGGCTGGCGTCTGTAGTGTCCTCTTGAGTCACTGAAACATCCCCCCTGCAGCTGAGTTGTGTGGGATAGAGGTGAACACAAACTGTTCTCTCCGCTCAGAAATGCACAGAAGGGATCTCCTGGAAGAAAGAGCCAGCAGGAGAATTAATGAGGCTTTTTGAAGAAATAAAAAAAAAAAAAGTTGTGATATTTTCTGTTGGAGGGTTTGCAAATACAAGATCTCAGGAATTTCCTGCCCAGTATGGTATAGGAGAGAGAAGTAACAATTTGGCCACACTTTCTTTGCAGTATCTAATGGCATATCTAAAGATTTTCTATTTTCTTTAACATCCCTCTATTTGCCAACTACAAGGTTTCCATCAAGGAAGAGCAACTATTTCAGCTCTATCCAATGGCACTTTCTTGGCAGGAAAACCAGACAAATAGAAGGAAAAAAGCCAGACCTTGTATCTATCAAGGGAAAACGTCACCCACCTGGGGTAGAGTTGCTGACTGTGGCTGAGGATGAGCTATTTCAGAGCTTATAGCAGGAAGAAAGCAGAAACAGCAAGAATACCACTCAGATAAATTCTCCATCTGCACATGGCTTTCCCTCCCTCTCCATGCCTGCCACTAATAGTTTTGTTTACAGCTTTGATGGCAAGACCATGACACCAGCTATGCTTCAGGAACCTGTCATTAGTGCTGCGGGGGCAGGGGTGGTCTCACAAAAGCTGAATGGAAGCAAGGCAGCCTCCCAAAGGATGTTATATTTGAGCTCTATGTAGGGCACATTGTCCTAGATCAGACCAGCAGAGCACTCTGCACAGTCCAACTTCACTTGTCCTCGTTTCGCTTTTCTTATAATTAAAAACTTCCTAAGTTCCTCCAGACTATGGAAGGCAGCATTTGTTTTGTAGGCACAAAAGAAGGTGTCACTCCATGTACCCTAGGGGTGAAAAAAAACCCCCAACCTGAAGAAAACAGGCCATTAGGAGACCTGATTTTAGTACTCTAGAGCTGAAGCGAAACTTTTGTCAGGAATTAGCTCATTCTTCATCTTCCAGCTAATTCTTTGCCTGGCTGCCAAGGCTAGATATCAGCAGAAAGATCTGTTTATTTAGAGAGAATAAAAACCCTGCCCACACAGTGGTCTTTGTCTTCTGAGGAAAGACTGGCCGTGCTACCAGTTAAAAGTACCAGGTTTTGTTCCCATGGAGATGGAGAACACAGCATTTCCTTGCCATTGGCATTGCCTGCTTCTGTGACAGTTTAGTCAAGGCTGTTTGGACCCCATGAACCTGATGTGGGTATCTGAGCAAGGTCCCAGCTCCACTGCAAATCCTGCTCTGTGCTGGGATCCAGCTGAATGTACTCCTTATGGCAAGTGTCTGAAGCAGCAGCATCCTTCAAAGCACAGAGCAGATATTCAGAATCAGCGCTGACAGCAGGAGCAAACTCCTTGTGGGGTGGGGATGAGGTGCAGCACAGTGACAGCAGCCTGGCTGAGGAAATGGTGTGCAGAATGTGCCTGGGCATCGGCTGTGGCACTGCTCAGGAGCTGCTGGGGATGCGCAAGCTGTGGTGTGACAGTGACGGTGACAGTGACAGTGACAGTGGGTGCAGTGACACCGGGAGCTCCTGCCCAGGTGACAGCGCCGCTAATGACACTCCGAATTGGTGACTATGACAATGACACCCATCCGAGGGGGGAATCTGGAGAATGCCCAGAGGCTGCTGTGGTCGCTGGGCTGTCACTGTGACAGCCCAGCAATAACTTTCACATTTCTGGTGGTTTAGATGTGGACTTTTTATCGTTACACAGTGATTGTGAAAAGCTCAGTGTGGGTTCTGTGGTCCCTGTGTGCAACACGTCAGGAGATGATGGTTTTAGGCAAACCATAATCATTAAGAAAGCAAGAAGAGGTTGTGGAGATGTGTGGTGACTTCCTGCTTCATGTGTGGGGTTGATGCTAATGTTGTTGCATCACTGAGGCACGGGCACATTTCAATAACTGAAATATCTTCCTGAATTCATTCCATCCCACAGAATAGCTGGTAATGAACACGCTCCGTGGTTGCAGCTGGGTGCCTGATGGGGCTCACCCATATTAAAGTACACACCTGCCACTCTCAGGGTTCTTAACTAAAGGTTAGGAGGCTTTACAATTTTGTGCTGTTTCTTCAAAGGCCAAGGAAATTGTTTAGGGGAGGAGGGTGAATGGAGAATCCTTCCTTCAGCAGAATTACACAGCAGTTCCAGGTGACTGTAAAGGGTGAAATGATGGTGCGGTGTAGCTGAAATGTTTACCTGGTGACGTAGCAGAGCAAAAACCCTTCTTCAGCTTTAAAGACATGTTCAGAGGTTCTGTCTCCATCCATGTTTGGACAAGAGCTTTATTCCCCCCACACAGCGTCTAGCAACCCCTACCATGATGTTTTTTGCCATGTCTGACTGCTCTCAGGGCAGACTCAGCACAGGAGAGTTGGTGCTGCAGGTCAGAATGGAGAGGGGTGGGAAGGAGGATGCTCTGTGCCAGATGCAAGGGCACAGGAGCTTTGTAGCCTAAGAGAGATCTGCAAATTCCTGTCCCTGGAAGGCCCACAGTGGATGGGAGCACTGTGTGCTGTTGACAGCAGAGGAATGAGAGGTTTCTTTCTTGAGTCAACCTGTGCTGGCAGTAGTTTCCTCCTGTTCTTCATCTCAGCCTCCAGCTGTGCACAGTGCAATGCGCATCCCGTCCTGAGCACAGCCCGGCTCCTCAGGGACTATGAGTTGTTTCAGCCACAGCTCCATGGCTTTATTTAATTTGTGGTGCAGAGATTCCTGCTTTCAGCCTTTGGCTGAGGTCCCCAGGTGATGCTGGCAGCACCAGGCAGGCGTGGAGCTGCTCTGGCTGTCCTGAGAAGAGGATGGCTCAGCATCAGCCTGCCCTGGGCCAGCAGCTGCCACACCAGGTGAGTCACCAGCTTGGTAAAACTGCCCCTGCAAAGCTCAGGCTGCTTTGCAGGGATGACCAGTGACTAAAATAACCCCTGTTCGTCACTGAGCCCTGCAGCTCTGCTGAGGCAGCCACCAGATTTTGTGTGCTTGGGTGCTGGGCTGCTGGCAAGGGACACTCAGGAGCTGCACACCTGAAACACAGGGGTCTGCATAGGATAGAAACAGAATTTTGCAGCTGCAGGAAAACTTGTAAAGAGGCTGAAAAGCAATGAATTATTAATCCCTCTCCTTCTCTGTATACACAGATGCAGTTACTGTGGGGTCCTCATTCTGAGTGTATGCTGTGGGTGCTGCTAGAATATCAACAGTTGAATCTGTTCTGCAAATTAGAAAATGAACATGTAGTTTGGATTCTGTTCATATTTTATTAAGGCCTCCAAGCACCAATTAGAGAGGGATTTGTAGTGATCACTCACTCTGTGCTTATGTTCTTATCAATAGCAGCAAGCTTACATCCAGATCAGCTATGAAATGAAGTCTTTCTTTTTCTTCTTTTCCTTGGATACTTACATATATAGATAGAGTATTTATAGAAATTGCTTTTTATCTCCTAAATTACCTCTCAGAGATAGGAAGGAATAGGCAAGCATTTGAATGTTCTCAAATGAGGAACTAAATTTGGTTTAATTAAACAATTATTGGGTGTTGAATTTAAAGGAAGCTTCTTTGTTGACAAACATATGATGGTCACCATTTCTTGTAAAGGTGTTGCTGTAATTATTCCGGCAGTAATCAGTTAGAATGCAATTTTTATAATTAAGTTTCCACAGTCTAAATAAGCCCAGCCCTGTAATAGTTGTGGTGTTTGTTGCTAAACTTGTTTCTATTTTCACAGTGTCAGAAATCTCATGTAGGTGCTCTGGGATTTTTTTTTTTCCCTGCAGAGCTCAGGACGTTTGCTATGACTATTTAATGTGAGTTCAGCCAACAGAAACACGGATCTAATGATCAGATGCAGTGTGATTAATACAACACAGGTACTACAAGGAGATACATCTCTTTGGATTATGTAACAGGAAAAGATGTGATGCAGACAGATGAATCACAG